GTATCTAATTTTCTTGGCGCTTTTTGAAAACTTTTTCGGCTTCTTTCACCTTCTTTTGATAAAAAAGCGATGAAACTTCAATTATAAATAAACATAATGTTTTAGGTACTTAAAATAAATTTTCTGTAGCGCGTTGAAAAAAGTGTTCCATTTTGCCCGGCTCTCCCCTATTTCATAAAGTGACTGTGAAAAAGTAATTAAGTTTCTCACCAAGTTTTTAAAGAATTTAGCATAATGAGGCAGACAGCTTGTCGAGCGTTCACTGCTTACAGGCGTCACAAGAGTAGGAAGTACCGATAGTCTAGAAATCAACAATTGAAAGTGTAGCTGTGTTGAAGTTTATATTTTAATATATTTCTACGAAAGTAAGAGCCGTCATGGCAAAAGTTCTCGTGGTAGGAGCATCTCGAACCAAATATTTTGAAAGACATTTGCAGCAGTTGTCGAACCTCGACGTATGTACGAAAGTAGTAATTCCGTTTATGTTACGTAAAATAAAATTTCTCGACAAGGCTCCTAACTTGTATGATAAATATCGGGAAAAGTTTGCGTACATGATCAGAACAGAATATTAAAAACCAGGTCGTAAGTACTTTTCCATGGCTGTGGTACGACAGGCCTGAGCCAGCATTCGCGGATAATACTGAATTCATGAGGATATTTAATAAACATACGACGGACCCAGAAAAGGTATCTGACTCGCAACTTGCCGATGCAAAAGTCGCCATGGCAGATTCGTTACACAGCAAACACAGCAACAGACCCCGCAAAAACGGCGAAGATCCATGGCTAGGAGTACACTAGAACAGGTTGACTTACTTACGGAGATGTCACAGTCAACAGAAACCCAAACGCCATCAGCACTTACCAAGACAAATAACAACAGCAGAGGCCAAATATGCACCGATGCCGACAACAAGAACAACGAAAATGACAAAAACAAAAAAAGCCCGAGATTTTTCAAACAAACACCGAAGCAAAAGAAGACTCCTCAAAAGCGACAACGGAAATGTATGGTTAACCTGCGATCAAGTGCTAGGCATCCAAAAAAACGGATCCTATCGGATCAACGCGTCGCAAATATTCTATCCTTTGAGTAAGATGTAAAAGTTGAGTAAAATTTTTGAGCAAAATCCGAACTGACACAAAAAAAAACTCTCATAGTAAAATAAGATTTTTTTGTAAATACAAATTCGGAATTTTCCTAAATTTCTTGAAACCGGAGAAGTGTTATAATTTTTTAACCTACCTCTGAAATGAGGGGCTTGGAGGACGAGGCGCATAAATGCAACTTTTGGTAATTTTGAGGACTAAGTGTTTGAAGTTTCGGAATAAGATGGATTGCAGCAGTCGTCGAACCTCTCAGGTCCTTATCCTGCAACGGTCCAGAAACACATGACGGATTTTCGACCCACGATTTTGATTCAATGGAACTTCTTGACGCCACCCCGAGCACCCCTACCCCCCTGCAGATGCAGGGCGGAGAGGGGACTCAAACCGCTTCCCCGGCATACGGCACCCCCCAAGGGACCGTAGCCAGGGAAATATTTCAGCTGGAACAGCGGATTAGGAGGTCAAACTCCAATGACCTCCCCCGCCCAGAAAACGATAGCCCGACACCGGGCAAGAGAGCTCGTCGAAGGCACTCAGACAGTTCCTTGTCTAGCAGCTCGCCCAGTCCCCAAAAGAGACATTGGGACAGGAAGGCGGAGGCCCAAGAGGCCTTCGAGATTGCTGACAAAAGTGCCAAAGCAGTAGAGAAACTCCGAAATGCCTTCACCAGACTTCGAAGAAAGGAGAAAACCTACTCCTGGAAGGACTTTATGGCGCGAGATAACTTTATGCTTGACGAGCTCTTAGAAAACCAACAAAAGCTCGCAAGCATAATCCTCGGGAGAGCGACCCGCTACGAAAGCTACCCCGAGGACCTAATACTCAGAGAAAGCGGCACACAGACAAGCCCTATCAAATCTACGCCGCCCCCTACAGACACGCCCGACGTCGTAGTCCTTGAAGACGACGTCGGTGCAAAAGAGGACCTCAATAGCCAAAACAACCCTTGGGGCGGACCGGAGATTATCGTACCGGCTCAGCCCTCGACGTCAACAGCTGGCGTCACGGCCCAAGGTCCACAAGTCCCGCCTCAGCCACCGCCCCTACCACCGCCGCCATACCCCCTGCAACCGCCTAAACAACAAAGGCCGAAAAGTAGCGAAAATGACGCAGTCACCCTAGTAAACAATGCAGGGGGCACTGAATTTCTAATGATGCAGTTCTCGAAAATGATCAGGGAGGAAGTCACCAGGGCGATCGATATGCGCCTGGGACAACCTGACAAACAAACGCCGTCAAGGCAGAAAGGCAACAAAATTGAACCAACGAGGCCTGAAAGTCAGAAACAACCAGCGACTTCCCCGACATCCCCCAGGGGTGAACCATCGCGTCCCGGAGGAGGCGGTGGCTACTCGGAAACCTGCAAAAAAACGGATCCTATCCGATCAACGCATCGCAAATATTCTATCCTTTGAGTAAGATGTAAAAGTTGAGTAAAATTTTTGAGCAAAATCCGAACTGACACAAAAAAAAAACTCTCATAGTAAAATAAGATTTTTTTGTAAATACAAATTCGGAATTTTCCTAAATTTCTTGAAACCGGAGAAGTGTTATAATTTTTTAACCTACCTCTGAAATGAGGGGCTTGGAGGACGAGGCGCATAAATGCAACTTTTGGTAATTTTGAGGACTAAGTGTTTGAAGTTTCGGAATAAGATGGATTGCAGCAGTCGTCGAACCTCGACGTATGTACAAAAATAGAGTGAGAGTAACGAGTAGATACCAAGTTGTGTTTTAGGTATGGATATGAAGGTAGTGTCAACGGCGTCAATGGTTGTTAGATCTGGTTATAGCTTGAAACGCCCGGCCCCCTTTAGCCAACCACCGCCGGACTACGAGCTTTTCCGTAGACGCCGTCCAAACCCAATACTGCGGGGTACGAGGCCCCCTCCTCGATGCCCAGACATCCCCGATTTCCGCCACCCTCCCCAGCACTCCCTCCTTGCGGCCACGCTATCATGCCGAGAATGGAGGAACCGCTAATACCTTGTTCTCCCTGGCGGTTGCAGTCTCTGCCGCCAGCCAACCCGTGGTGGTCGGAAGATCCGCTCCATGACTTCGGCTTCCAGCGTTTCTTCCCCCGGACTCCCCCTCCTGCGCCATCCCATCTACTGTCCGTCTACGAAAAAGACCCGGGCACCCCCCCCCCCCCC